CTTAGTGGGTTTTTTCTGAAGAAGTGAGGAAATCTTTTCCCCAAGGCTAACCACCCAATGAGGGCCTTAGGTGGATGCTACACAGTGGAGGGGAAACCAGGGACTGAGTAACAAGGGTTTTTCCATCTTCCTGTTCCATTGGGTGGTCTGGAAAAAAACAGGACAGAAGGGAGGGGTATTACAAGGAGGCTGTCAGCTGAGGAAACGGGCTCAAATTGTGAGGGACTTTTAACCTTCTCAAGTGAGTCAGCAATGGGGCAATTCCTGTTCCTTTCTTTCTTACCTTTAGCTTAGAAGTAAATCTCTGGCATCTGGGGGCCATCACTGATACGTGTAGAGTTAGCATCATACTAGATAAGTGTCCTAGGACACAGCCAAGGATGAAATTGGTGCTGAGGGGCCTTCAGGCATCCCGAGTGTGTATCATCACGGTACCACCTCTAATCGTGATGTCTACAATTAGGCGTCATCACTACGGAGCTCAGATGGGGCATCTTCTTGAAATGGGCAGCCTTGACAGGGTAGGAATTCAGTCTTGGTCTCTCAGGAGGTGGGGAGTTGGGGTGGGGGTGGGGGAGTAGGGGGAGATAGGGGAAGCAAGAGTTTTTATTTCAGGAAAGAGAGGAGTGTGGTTGGTGGGGAGTGAACTGAAATGAAAATTCTGCCATTTATCATTAAAACCTGGAATGAATACTTTCTTGAGTTTCTGAGTTGGTCCTCTTGTGTATCCATATAGAGGAGGTGGATCAGAATCTCCCTAACTCAACAACAAAAGTAAAGAGGGAGGAGATCCAGTCACTCTTGTCCACTGGCTCTGAGAAACTATGATTAATTAGCACTTGTGAGAGGCAGCACTAGTAGATAGAAAGCTGGCTGTGGAGCCAGAAGATCGGAGTTCAAATCCTGCTTTTTATACATCCTGGCTGTTATCCATAAAAGTCCTTAAATCTCTCAGCATTCTAGGAAGCTCTTAAGCCTGTAAGGTACAGATTTGCATAGGTAGAGGAAGGTTCCTCAAATGAGAGTTTTCTATACCAGTGAAACCACAGGTGCAATCTCTGTATTCCTAGTTAGTACTAATTTATTATGGCACCTGATGGCTAAGTATTAACACTTTTAAGGGTATAATATTTAAAGTGCATTGCAAATGAGATGGGCTGCTTGAGGGGACCTTCATCTAGTCGAGCCCCCTTTGCTTTATAAGTGAAGACACTGAAGTACACAAAAATTTAGTGACTTATCCAAGGTCACACAGGTAGTAACTTGTAGAGCCTGGATATAAATCCAGGGCTCTTTGACGACAAATCCTGCACCATTTCCACTGCACCATATTCCTTGATGATGGATTGATTCTTTACAGGGTGCTTTCCTCATTGAGATCTGTGCAAAGCACTGAATTCAGAGAACATGGGTGTTTTGGAGGTTTAACCCAGTCGGATGATGACCTAGGCTAATTTGCAGGTGTGGGTAAGCTGGGCTATTCAGAGATGGAACCCGGCCTCAGACAAGCCATGTGACCCTGGGCAAGTCACTTAATCTGTTTGCCTCAATTTCCTCATCTGTAAAATGGGGATAACAAATAGCACCTACCTCCTAGGGTTGTTGTGAGGATCAAATGAGATAACTGCAAAGCACTTAGCACAGTGGCTGCTGCCATATAAATGTTAGCTGCTATTATTATTTGTTATTATTTAGCAGAGCTGTTTCTTCAGAATGGCATAAGTCTCGTACTCACTGGGAGCAGAGAATCGGTACTTTGGATTTCTTGTTATGACAGGAAAGACCATACAGACTGTTAGAGCAGGAAGGGACCTTTAGTCAGAGGAAGAACTGAGGTCATATAATTATGGCAAATCCTGGACTGGTACCAGTGCCGGGAGGTGGCTTGACTCCTAATCCAGGACTCTAACAGTAAAATGGAACTGGATACTGCAGGCCATTGATCTAGAAAACCACAAATTAAAGTTATCTGTTGAATTGTATGTTTATTCATTATTTGGTTAAAACATTCCTGGCGAAGTTGTAATCCGAGTTTGACACCTCTGCTTTAACATACCTCACTATAGAACTTATAGAACTTCAGTATAGTGCAAATAAACCTGTTAGCCAGGGCTGTCGGGTTAAATTCTGAACCTCTATACACAAAACTTTCAGAAAGGTCTCCCTTTGTTAATCACAAAATGAACCTAGCCACCCCCTACAACTGCAGGGATTACTGAATTCACATTTATTAAGCTAATGGAGAGAAAAGGCTTGCTCTCCATCTTTTAAGACTCCATTTCATGCAGATGGGGAGCCTCAGCATTTTATGGTGCTTTAGAGGTTTCTAACTTTATGAATCTCCTGATCACTCTTTTGAGGCCCCTTCAGACTATACCTCAGGAGAGTAGGTGGGTAGAAGCTAATGTGTGAGTTCCCTGTTTCAGTCTTTTTACTTCTTAAGATCTTTTCTTCTAGACCTCAGCAGAGGCTCATCCTCGTCACCTCTGACAAGGAAGTATCATTCCAGCCCTGTCTTTGATCCCCTGTTATCAGCAGGGGGTGATCTGCAGAATTATGTTGGGGCTCCGAGGCACTCCTGCCCTTCAGCTCTCCCCATAAATCGTAGATGAATGCACAAGGAGTTTCCGTCTTAAATTGTACACAACGAACGAATGGAAAGTTACTGGGGAGGTGGGGGTGAGAAGCAGCATGGAGAAGACTGAAAGGAGTAGACGGGAGAAGAGACTGGAGAGGAAGGTCCTAAATATAAGCTAAGGAAGCCAAGAGAGGGGATCATCTAGATGCCTTTCCCACAAACCCCAAGCATGTGTTCTTTCAGAGTCCAGGCACCGTAATCCAGAAGAAAAAGGAGCTGGTATAAGAGGTTTTACTTATCACATTGTTGTTGTTTAGTCATTTTTCAGTCATGTCTGACTCTGTGACCCCATCTGGGTTTTTTGTTTTGGGGTGGTTGTTTTTTTTTTTTGCTTTTTTGACAAAGATACTGGAGTGGTTTGCCACTTCTATCTCCAGCTCATTTTCCAGATGAGGAAACTGAGGCAGACAGGATTAAGTGACTTGCCCAGCGTCACACAACTAGTGTCTGAAGTCAAATCTGAACTCGAGTCTTTGAGCTCAGGCTCAGTTCTAGCCACTGCTCCACCAAACTGCCTTCTGAGCCATGTTGACTGGAAAAAAGGAAAAAGTAGTGGCCTAGAGTCCAGCATTTTTTAAACTGTAGGTCGTGACACCACATGGGGGAAAATCTGTATAACAGTAACAGGGTTCTGATGCACAATCAAAAATCGACTAAAAATCAAATGCGTAATGAATTGAGGTGGCTTTGGCAGGGCTTCCCCTGTGGTGCATCGTACAACTTCACTGCAGCCTTGGTTCCAAACACAAGATGTGTGTACTGTGCGTGCCGTGCACCCATGCAGCCATGAAATGCCACCGAAACTCGAGAAGGGGTCTCGAGTGGAAAGTTTGAAAAACCCTGGCCTAAGCCACAGCGGAATAACTAGAATTAAGATGAGTGAGGCCATTGTTCTGGGTCACTGACCCACGTGAGGGAAATTAGGAGCTGTCCTCCTGTCTCAACTTCCCCTACCCCTAAAAACTCTTTTCTCCTCCTTACTCATCCTACTTGTGTCTCTTTTCTGGGCTAGGAGGTTGTACTAGGTGAATCCCAGTCCCACTATGGTTTATTATGTGTGTGTTCCTAGGTGAGTCACTTAACCACACTGGACCTCAATTTCCTCATCTGTAAAATGAAGGCATTGGTCTAAGGCTTCTAAGATCCCTTTCCAGATTACTAAAGTCCAGTAAGACTCCAGACTTAGGGGTTGGAGCTCTAGAGGCTGAAAATTAGAAGGGGCTTTGGAAGCTAGCTAGCCCAATCTTCTGCCTCAAGGTGGAATTGCCTTTACATCCTCACACTGCTTAAACACTTCAGTGATAGGGCAGGCAGCTATTTCAAATAATAGCGTATCCCACCACTGGTCAGCTCTGATTATTAGAAAGGTCTTACACTGAGCTGAATCCAGTCTCCATATAATTGCTATGCATTCTTCCCTCTGGTGTGAACCCAAAATAAATCTCTTTCAAATGACAGTCCTTCTTTCAAATATTTGAAAGCAACAATTCTGTCCTCACTGAGCACCAGCAGCTGGGAGATACTTCCAAGTGCAGAAAATTCCCCCCATGCCCCAGACCCATCTCCCCATTCTTCATCGCCCACTTCAGGTCCTGCCTTTTCTTTGTCAGCCATCAAAGATGGCAAGCGACCACAGAGAACCTCCCTCTTTTTAATACCAATAGCACTTAGCATTTGTTCCAGTCTTTCTTTTGCTGCTTACCCTGTACTGCCTTGTGTGGTTCCTTTTTCATGTATGTAAGTCTTATCTCACATGTGGACTGCCTTTTTTTTTTGGGGGGGGGCAAGGCAATCAGAGTTAAGCGACTTGCCCAGGGTCACACAGTTAGTATTATGTGTCTGGGGCCGGATTTGAACTCAGGTCCTCCTGACTCCAGGGCTGGTGTTCTATCCACTGTACCACCTAGCTGCCCCTGGAGTGCCTTTTGATCCATCTGATATCCTACAATACCTAGCGCAGCATCTTGTATGGAGTAGGCATTCAGGTATTCCTCTGCTGACTGACACATCTAGGTATAAAGCAAAAGAGGTAGAAGGAAAAAAATGAGAGCGCCTAGGCTGATGATTTAATACAGGTGTTCAATATAGGAAATTATAAAGGAATAATGTGCAAACATCTATATACAAGGCACAGTCTCTATTACAAGGAACATCTGTTTACAAGCACCAAGATAGCACTTTGGCCTTAAAGTGTGGTAGATACAGGCAGCACAATTTTCAAACATTGCCATTGGTTTGAGCAAAACACACAGCAGACTTTTCAGAAATGACAAGGCCCCATTCCAGGTCCAACCAAGCCTTTTCCAATTCAATTCAAGACCTGAGAGAGTTTACCAATGTAGAAATGAAGCTGGAGTCAGGGTTCTAAGTCACTTCTCATTTATTCAGTCTGTTCTAAGTTGCACAGTTATGAAAATAACAAAACCAATGCTGGAAGCCCAGGAATATTTACAATCTCTCTGTGTAGTGAGGTCAGTCTATTTTGTTGCACAGATTGGTTATGTTTGGTACCACAAGGTGTTTATAATTCTGACAAAATTGGACAGATTAACAATTATATATACAGGAAAATAAAAAGGGAAACCATTCAAGTATCAAAATACAGAGACAAAGATTAAATAACATTTTTATTACAAATCAGTCCCATTGCCACACACCACAATTAGCAAAATCACCCTTTTGCAAACTGAATTTGACAGTCATTCTGCCAGTCTGGGCAGTATTAGATGAGCCTTCAAGCCCGACTAAACTCAGATTAACTTTCACAAACCACAGATGTGCTTGCTTTACTGTTCCAACCTGTCTCTGAGAAACTACCCCTGATCTTTAGTACTAGAGGGCCCACTAGGGGCCTGGAGAGTTGCGAATGTAGAGCCTTGTTAGGAAGAAGAATCCTATTGCCTAAGAACAGTTAGCAAGCACATGGGGAAATTCAAGCAGAGAGCTGGGAACTGATGACAGCTTAATGTAACTGAACCCATTCCAAGAAAGCTGCAGTTTCACACCTAAATGGGCTCCTTCACAGTTCAAAAAACACAGTGGATGTGTTCAACCATGCTACATGGACTGCACTGAGAACAGTATGATAGCCGTGGCTTTCCCACTCAAAGCCTGTTCTTAAAGTTGTAATATCCCTTTCTAGGGAAGGGAGAGTACCTGATCCCCATTTAAAAAAAAATCCAGTCACTTTCCTTTCTCCAATATCCAAAAATATACCAATCTAAAAACATAACTGAGAACCAGAGCTGACCAGCCAACTTCCCAATCTGAAAACACCCTGAATAAATAAAGAGGACATAGCAGCTTTAAGAAAAACAAAAACACCTAAGTGTGATTTTTAAAAATCTGAGAAATTCATCTTAGTGTCTACAAAGAATTTTCTTTTTGGACCTACCATCTTACCCACAGATACCTACTTGGAAAGGAAACAACCTTCCTTGAAAAAAAAGGAAGAAAGTGGAGCTCTGGAAGATGGAGAAATGCTGCTACTGGGCCCCACACATAAAGACCCAGTAGCGTGGCAGGAACAGCACAATTTTACTGAAGAAAACTTAATTTTTCTTGGGAAACTTTTTTGGAAAACAGAGGCTGAATACTGCACAAGGGCTAGGAGTCCTTCGCAGGCCCAGGAGAATCATGGTCCTTATTAGGACAGAGAAGCTAGAGCTAACCCCCTCTTCCCAGAGTAGCTCTGCTGGGGCCAGAATGACCAGGATTAACTGCTCCCAGGGTTGGGTGAAGAACCACAGTAGTCTATGATGGATAAACAGAGAGGAAGCCCACAAAGCCAAGCCTCAAATCAGCCCAAGGTACGAAACCACTGCCTGCAACTTCTGGCCAACCAGAGAGTTTGTGCATTTCTAAAAGGACCCTCCCTGCATACATATAAATATGTAATTCCAACTGACACCTTTCACTGGGAAAGAGCAGTGTTGCCAAAGCCTAGAATATTTGCACTTGGACAGGAATAAACCGCACCGTAAGAATACTAGGTTTGCTAAAGCACACATGGGAAGGCATGGTCCTCTTTGCTCCCTATCCCACAAGGGCTCGGCCTTTCCATCTCAAATGGAAGAAGTCCCTGTTTTAAATCCAGAAACAAAACTGAAGTTAAAGGGAGAAGCAAACTAGGGAGTTGTAAGAAACAGCAGTGCTCTAGTAAGCCAACCTGGTGCAGGATAAAGGGCACTGTCTGAATGATAAAAATCAAGTCGGCGACCAGGGGTGAGCAAGGGAACAAAACAGGCATAGTCACAACTCAGAGTCAACAATGAGACCGAACTGCAGAGACCTGTTTAGACAGACCTCCAGTCACTGGGCATCAGCCTCAGTTGGTCTCTCTGTTACTTCATGCCCCAAATGAAGCTTTTTTTTTTCTGTTTTTCCTGTGGAACTTAGAAAATATGGAGCTACGGGAGAGCTGGTGGGAACAAGAAGACCAAAACCCGTGGTCACTAACGAGGTGGAGTTGGGGGGCACTGAGGGGACCAAAGCTCTAGGAATCCACCAGAGGCAGCAACGTATGGAAACAACCATCATCTCTTCACATCTAAAATCCTAGCAATGGCTCCAGAGCTCCTGCTTTTCAGGTGTCTCCAGGGTTGGTTTTTTGTTTTTGTTTTTGTTTTTGTTTGTCTTCAAATGGTTTTGTTCTAAGGGGAGTTTGTGCACTTTAACAAAACACAGGAACTCAGCTGGGTCTGAACATCAGAATCCAAGCTATTTTCAGATCAGCCTGTTGATTCTGTTCTCTTATACTCACCTGTCTCCCATAAGCAACTGCTTTCCTTTCAAACCTGCTATGCTAGTCCAAGGTCTCATTCTGAGGAAGGAAGGCCTAGATGGATTGATTGTCCTTTTGGCCAGTTCTAGTTTCTCAAAGATCTTCATCCCCATGACTTTCTGGATGAAGACTGGCAATCTTCCCTATGGGCCCAAGCTATTGGCAGTCATTTTTTTCTATTAAAAAAAAAAGTGTTTCTGGACAAGCTAAAAAACCCAGAGTCACTTCTTGGCCCCGTGGAATCCCAATCTCATCTGCCAGAGAGAGACCCCGAGTTGCTGCTCTCCAGCCAGGGGCAGGGAGGGATGGGGGGAGGATCTATTTTCGAGGCCTGGTTGTGGAAAGCCTGTGCTGAACAGCAGGAAGGCGATCCCGAAAGCAGAGGCTGAGCCTGGATCTTCAGGATGGCAGGTGAGGCAGTGGTGGCAGCAGTCTGTGCCCCCAGGACTATTTTTCCGCAGCAGTGTGGTTTCCCAGTGGCTCAGCTTGGCAGAAGCAAACAGAATGGGGAGGGGAAAGGGTTAACCAAAGGCAAATTGCACAGAGAGGAGGACTGAAGTCGAAGGGGAAGGTGCCTCACAGAATCCCCAGGGCTCCCTGGGCTGCCTGATAAGAGGGAAAGCCCAGCAGAGCTCAGGTACAGGGAATCTGCTCTTAAAAGGCACAAGAACCAGGCAGGCAGGGAGGCCTACCCTGGTGATATTAACTTACAGTAAAACTCCCTAAAACTGCTGTATCCCACTGGACCGTATTACATTTGAACCATTTCCTAATGAAATTGCTTCCTTCCCATATGCTGTCAACTAAGCTAACTTCCCCACACCAGAGTGGATTCTGCTTGTCTACAGCCCCATCTCCTTTCTCATCTCAGTTCTTAAAGGTTTTGAAGGTTCTTGAACTCATAGGAAATGACAGTGTCCAGCCTTCTATCATCTACCACACTACAGGCCTTGGAAGAAGGAGGTCAAAGCAGGCCGATGCTTAATCTTTGAATTCTCACATTATGGAGAAGGAAGCAGACTTCAGAATGCCTTGGGAAATGATAGCAGTTACCATAGAAAGCTCGGGTACCAGCCCCTAGCTTATGGCAGCCCCTTTCTCAGACAGTATGACTATGCACCATATGGGAAGAGGACAGGCCTCACTCCTCACTCCTGCAAGAAGGGAGCCTTCCATTCAGTGACCTGGACTTTGGAACCCGAGGCTGGTGCTGCCCAACCTTCTGGGACTCTAATAAATATGGGACTGACAGGGATGATGGACCACACAGATAGAGCCTCCATTCTATTTGTTATAAACTATATGAGGCAAGGAACCTGTTTGCTGGAGTAAGCCACAAGACCTTCTAAATGATAACTATCAAATCCCTAACACTCCGGTCACCCCTGAGGTCAACCCTTCAAAAGCTCCTCCTGAGAGTCAGCTACAGATGTGAAGAATTGGCATGCAGCCTGGACACACAGAGAATGCAATTCTGACCAGTCCAAACCACCAAACAGTATTAATGCCTTTCCATCTCCTGCCTCTGGCCATCTGCAGTGGCTCAGTCCTCTCAATACCGAACCATGGAAGCCATGGGTAGGCTGTCAGCTGACAAAGAGTCCAGCACCGTACATCAGAGAGGTGATGGGGTAGAGCTGGCAGGCAGGACTTGAGTTTAGAATGGGGAGTAGGTTTCCTGGCACACCGGGTGGTCACAGTGGTTAGTGTTGAGAAAGGTGAGTTAGTTAGTTCTTGGCAATAGTCCCCAGCCATGGCTCAGATGGAAGGATGGGCCAGAGCAGATCACGTGTCCTGCGCCTGAGCCCAGGGTGACATTACCATCACTGAGTTGGCTTTAAGGCCAATCCCCCAGGGATCTGTAGTGCCCATCCATTCAGAGGCCCCCTTCAGCCCTCTTGGTGCCCACCTCGAAGGCACCTCCCCCCCTCCACTGCACCGTCCCCGGCCAAAGAGAGGAGAATTCACAGTGTTTGGTGGTATAAGGTACAAGAGTTGTTAGCGTACAGCGTCTCAGTGCTGCTGCCAGGGAGGAGAGCAGGCCCCTGGGAGGGTGGGGGGCTCACCATCAGCAGCTGGAAGGAGAGAGCTGAAAACAGCAGACAGATCAGATGGTAAAGGCACAGTGAGACTAGTGGAGGCAGGGGCTGGGTTGGTTTTAGAAGATAGTGGTCTCATACTTAGTGCTGAGGCTCCTTTTGGAATCCGGTTTTGGGTCCACTACCCAGGAGACGCTGCCATGAGACTGGGTATCTTGGTCCATGTCAGACGATTCCAACTGGAGAACAAGAGGAGGAAAGGCAAAGCATCAGAGCAATTGCATGCCAAGGCCAGGGCTGAAGGGAGTCCAGGATAAGCCTCAGATCACCTCCCCTGGGCCATGCTGGTGACCTCATCACCTGAATCGGGGAAGGCCTGAGAGTCAGAAGGGAGATCCAAGAGGGAAACTCTCCCTCCTTTTGGGGGCGTGATGGGGAGGCAGTGCAGAAAGCCCTGCTAGAACAGCTCATTGCTAGCAGGGGACCTGGCGTGGACCCTCAGCCAAAAGTGCACCCCACCCATCTAGACTGGAGCTGCCTGACCTGGAAGCCGGGGGACGTTCCCTGAGAACAGTGGCAACGAAGGAGCGGTGAACACTTAGCAAAGCGAACGACAAAGGCTGCACCACAGACAGGCGATAACAGGCTCCAGGAGGAGGGGAAAAGAGACACAAGATGGCAAGAAATGTAAAGACCTTGACTCCGGGACTAACGGCCGGCAGCGGTAGGTAAGAAGGACGGTGGGTAGTGCAGGTGTGACAGTAACAACAGCGGTTATCAGGTGGCAGCGGCCCCTGGGGAGGTGGAGGCAAAGCAGATACAGACAGGAGGCAACATTAACGATGGGGGGGAGCGGGGAGAGGTTTCTCTGCTGATCCTGCCCAACACTGCAGCTGACAGACTGCCCGAGCCACTGCTGGACAAGGGGACGCTGGCCCTCTCGGGGCGAGGACATCTGTCCCCTTAAGACGGTAGTTTCTACTGAGGACCAGGTGAACAGGGTGGTGCACGGAAAGGACCCCCCTTCCGGAGTCAGACAGGGGCTAGGGAACCCAGGAACCAGGCCATACATACTGCAGATTTCCTCATGCCAACTCGAGGCTTAGGCACCGGTTTGGAAGCTTTTGTTTCTATCATCTCAGCTGCTGATGCCCCACCTGGCTTGGCTTTCTGAGCCTGCAGGGCCAGCTGATAGGCCACCTCGAAGGCCTGTCCCAGGGTCAGGATGATCTCATAGGTCAGGTTCTGGGAGGCAACCAAGCATAACAAACACGTGAACGCTTTGGAATGGAAAAGTTTTCCATGCAGGGAGCATCTAGATGCTAAGGATCAGGGCAGAGAAGGTTTAGGAAACCTGGATGTCCTTAGTGGCTTCCCAATTCCAGAAATCTCTGGGTCTCCTAGGAGTCACAAGGCTTTTGAGAAGGTGGAATAGCCACAGTCCCTCAGCACAGACAGAACGAAGAGCTCAGGATTCAGGACAGAGGCAGCTCTTCAGAGTTCCTGGCATGAGCAGGCCCCTACTACTGGGTACCAGGACCTTGGGGGAAGCCATGTGGTCCAGCTCTCCCTGGTTTAACTCATTCCCCCCATTTTTCTCCCTTCCCTGGGCACGGTCAATTTTGCAAGGCATTACGTTTCATTCCTAATTAAATGTCACTAGAACCAAGGAGAGCACCAGAGATCAGAAGAGTATCCTGGAGCACAGAAATGGATCTGTTGGTAGATAACAGGGAATCTGCTGCTGAGGACAAAGGTCTGGCTTGAGCTTTGGTCACGTCCAGCTGGACATGGTGCCCCAAAGGCACCCGGGGGTAAAGAAGAGAGGGCCTGGAGACCTGGTTCTTCTCCAGCTGTGCACCATTGCTTTGCTGTACGACTAGACAAATGATGGCGCTCTTCTGTGCATGAAACAAAGGGGCCAGAGAGATGAGCTCCAAGTTCTCCCTTAGCTCTAAACTTTTCAGATTCTATGATGCTAAGGCAAGCTCCCCACCGGACGCCCCGGCCAAGGAGCCCCGGCCCCTCCGCCCCCCCTACTTACCACATCTACAGTGCTGAACACGTGGCAGTAGTGGCGGCTAGTCTGCAGGTCCTTGGTGATGTAGGCAAAGGTGCAGAGGTCCTCGGGGTCCTGGGCTGCGCAGGAGATGTTCCGAATCTCATGTTCTGCAATGATGTTCTGTCAAGAAGGAAGCGACAAGTCCGGCTGAGTTGCCTGCTGCCTTTCCTCAGGAACCCTGACCTCCCCCTGGGGCAGAGGGGAATTGGGTTTTCCCTCCTCACCACCACCTTTCTTTGTCTACCCCTCACCAGAACCTCTCCTCCTAGACCACACCTGCCCTTTTCCACGGTATCGTTGGCACCCTCAACAGGGACGGGATGGGTGCCAAAGTTTAAAAGGGCACTTCTGTCTCAGTCACGGGGCCTGAGGACATGAGATCTTAATTTACTCACACAGACACACACCCTTAGGGAGGGAAAGTAGGCTGAGCCGTGACGGATCAAGAAAGCGGCAGAAGGGTTCCTGTGCCTTTAAACGAGGATCCCACATGGGGAGATGGAACTGTTTGCTTGTCTCTGATGGGAGAAAAGACCTCTGACTCTGCCATCCTGGGGCTGGGGCAGGGAAGCTCCAAAGGGCTCATGAGGCTGATCCTGCTTGGGCCTAATGGCCTCCCCGATACCCTGGCCTGAGTGGACTGGCCTGGGAAGCTGTCCCATCTCTTCCCTCCTCACTACAATTAGCCTCACAACCTTCTTCAGCCCAGTCTTCTCAGCTCCAAGACAGGACACGAAGGAGTAGATCAAGAATAAAGGAACAAGATGTATTGTCACGAAGCAGCAAGGGGCAAGGAGTGTGTGCGCTGGCACACACATCTCCCTCAACACAAAGATGTTCTTTCCTCTAGCAATGGAAAAGTGGAAATAGTGAAGTACTGGGAGTCCAAACCTTAGTCCAACTCCCACTGCTCACTTGCTGACTGGGACAAGGCACATTACTTCTCCTTTTGGACTTCAGTTTCCTTTATACAATAAGAGGATGGACTGGGTGAATTCTGGGCCCCTTCTAGTTTGACCCTCTAGGATTCCATGAATTTATTACATGGTTTATTATATATGGTTTATTCCCCCTTACCAGCCAAATATCCTGATTCACACAAGAAGTCTGAGACCTACATACCTGTCTAAAGGACTTCTAGAGAAAATCAGAGTAGCTATCTGCAACTGCACATCTTTCACTAAGGAAATCAAATTAGATTATGTATCTACTAGGAAAGGAAAACAAATCAAAGCTTCGCTTGTAGGGGTAAATCTTGGCAATTTAATAACACACAACCTCAGGGACTGTTTAGATAGCATTTTAGATTCAGAGCCAAATGGGTCCTGAGAAAGCCAGGATTCAAACTCAGGTCTTCTGACTTCAAATCTAGCATTCTTTCCACTTTACTACTTCTCTGGCAACAGAAGGCAAACTGATGGTTTGGAACTGTGTTCTCTTAGAAGATCTAGGCCTGGCAACGGTGCTCAGATGAGAGAAATGTCTGGAAAACCCAGAACCTCTTCCCGAGGGCCTCCCCACATAACCCCCCCAAGGATTCAGGGAGGGCTTTTATTGGGAGAAGAGCTAACAGGCTCTAGGCTTTCTGGACTGGTCACCTGTGACATCTGAGTATGAATTTCACCTGAAGTCCTCGCCTCTTGCTGATTTAGGGGAACCCGGACCACTAGGGATGGGTCTTTTTGCTTTTGCCTTGGGGATCTCACTCTAATAACAGCAGCCCCTCAAACCCTTTTCCTCTGGATAGAACTTTCACAGACGTGCTTAGTCCCTCTGTCCACTAAAGAGCCACAGAGAAGAGAGGGGATTCCAAAAGGAAATCAGGAACCTCAGGCAGCAGCATGTTCTTCCCCCGTCCTAGCCACAGGCTGCTCCCTAACCTTTGGGCAGACTTTAGTTGCTATGTTTATTTATTTTGGGGTTCACTGCAGAAGTGATGTCATTGCTATCACCCCACCAAGGCCATTTATTCATTGCACAAGTATTCACTGAGCGTCTGCTGGATGCCTGGCATGCTGCTAGTTACCCTGGGTGGGGGTGGGAAGGAAAGACTGAATCTCAAAGTCATAAGCAAAATGGAATATAAAAGCTACCAGCTAACAAGCTACCAGCTATACAATCAAGATTAATCGTCTAGGTTCCAATTGGCTAGACTAGTCTAGGAACATTACAGAAACAAAGCTAATCTAATAATTTTGCAATTGTTTGGTTCTCTGTAAATTGTAACACCCTCATCTTATTCTGGAGTCCCTGAGGTTGTGTGTTATTAAATTGCCAAGATTTACCCCTACAAGCGAAGCTTTGATTTGTTTTCCTTTCCTAGTAGATACATAATCTAATTTGATTTCCTTAGTGAAAGATGTGCAGTTGCAGATAGCTACTCTGATTTTCTCTAGAAGTCCTTTAGACAGGTATGTAGGTCTCAGACTTCTTGTGCGAATCAGGATATTTGGCTGGTAAGGGGGAATAAACCATATCAGTCAATAATCCTCTAAGTAATTGCTTACTAAATTAATATGTTTCCAATAGAACTGGTCCCCTCCAATACAATGTGAAATGACTACATTTGTTTTGACATATTCTGTTGTGTAGAGAGAGGTTATTGGAAATTACAGTAAACTAAAAAAAAAGGGGCATCAATTAAAAAATGGCACAAATGATACAGCTATTGAGAGGCAATAAAAGGCAGGACAGGGCAAGTGACTAAATGAGCTTGGTGACAGTAAGTGCTAGAGGAGTTCAGAAGAGGAGGGCCCTGGGAGCTACAGGAGTCAAGGAGAAGCCTTAAAGTAAGCTCTAAGTAGGCAGAGCAGAAGGATGAGGACATTTCAAGCAGGGGCCAAGAGGAAGCATGACATGGGGATATGATGCTGGACTTGCAGTCAGGAAATCCTTTTGTTCAAATGGCAACTTTGATGCTGAATAAGCAGTTGGGACTTCTGGCAAATCATGTCACTTTCCCAGGCCTTGGTTCCCTTTTCTATAAAATGAGGAACGAAGCTGTGGGACCTGCCTCAGAGGGCTGGCCTGAAGCTTCAATGAGATGATGGAAAGTCCTCTGCAAACATTAAAGTGCTAGGTGGGTTATTTTCTTTCTTTCTTTCTTTCTTTTTTTTAAGGCAATTGGGGTTAAGTGACTTGCCCAGGGTCACACAGTTAGTAAGTGTCAAGTATCTGGTCCGAGGCCGGACTTGAACTCAGGTCCTCCTGACTTCAGGGCTGGTGCTCTATCTACTGGGCCACCTAGCTGCCCCCTAGGTGGGGAAGTAATTTCTACTTCTCCAGCGTTCTAAGGATTACTGAGGACTTGCTTCCCTCACAGCAGCCCTGGGAAGCAGTGCAAGGATCGTCACCCCCATTTTACAGATGAGACAACAGGGCACAGAGGTCAGTGATTGGCTTTGGGTCATGTAGCTATCAAGCTGCAGAGCTGGGTTTCAGCTTGTGCTTCTTGACTCCAAGACTAGTCATCTCCTGGAATCTCTCCTCTTCTCTTTCTTCTTTTCTTCTCTCTCCTCTCTTCTCTTTCTTCCTTCTCCTTTCCTTTTCTTTCCCCTCTCCTCTCCTCTCCTCTCTTTTTCCTTCCCCTCTCCTCTCCTCTGTGTATTCCAAAGACAGGAAAGAGACTGAAGTGGAGGTGGGCAAGAAGGCTGGAAGGTAGACTAAGGAATATGGAAGGGACTGCAAGCAAGTTGACAACTCTTAAGTTTTATCCTGTAGACAATGGGGAGCTACTGAAGGTTTCTGAAGAAAGGAGTTCTATGGTGAAAGTGGTACCCCAGGAAGATTAGTCTAGCTCTTTTTGGCCCTTGGAACCTTTACAAGATGTCTCCAATGTATCCTTCCAAACTTTTGCACATTACTCTCCTTAACACGCACTTCATTCCAAACAAAGTAGCATATTGGCTGGGGCTCTTCACCTCTGCCTTACAGAACTGCTCCATCTCAAGGTCTGCTTCAGTGCCACCTCCTAGAGGGGGCTCCTCTAAGTCCTCCCTATACCAAAGTCACTTTGTATATAGAATGTAAGGTCCTTGAGGGAATGACATTTTCATTTCTGTCTCTGTCCCTCCAGTAGGTAGCATACAGTGCTTGGCACACAGAAGATGCCTAATAAATGCTGGTTAAATTGAACTAAATAGTAACAGTGCCTATAATAGACTGGATCTGGGAAGGACAAGTCAAGGAACCCCCACCCAGGAGGCTGCTTGAAGTCCTCAGGTGAGGGAAACGGAGCAAGAAGTCGATGCTGGGGGCAGACGAGGTGTGGGAGGACTTCATATTTAGTTGGATGTTGGTAATGAAAGGTAACTTGTCGGATCTCTTCCTCTCAGTGGATAGGAAAGAGAGAATAGGAGCAAGACATTACTTACATCATTGGGCATAGTCACTAGAGCAGTTGTTTCTGTTTAAATGCTTGTTTGTTTCATACCAGGAAAGGTTTAGTTCTTGGGAAGGTGGCTAGAGATCCAGAAGTGACTGATGTAAAAGCCAAAGTTATCACAAAGGAATCCTTGAAGGAGGGTAATGTAGCCATTTCTCAAGCACTAAACTCCTGTGGGTGGATGAGCAGTTTTGTTGCGGGGAGAGGGGGTCGTCTAGGAGGATTTAGATTCCCCAACCCAGCAGTGATCAACACCTCCCAGAAGCCCTCACACGAAACTTACCTTGTTGGAAGCATCAATGAATTTAACCCCTTTGTAGGTGATGGAAAGAATTATGGTTGGGATCTTCTTCATCTGCTCAGTTGATTTCTGTAGGAAACAGGTAAATAAATCTCTGTGAACTCCCCTCTTTGGGGACGCGCCCAGAATAGCACAGGCTTCTGACTTTTCCTCAGTCTCCAATACCCAGAAGGAAGGGGGAGTTCAGCACTGGAAGGGCCCTGGAGCAGGCAGAGCAGCTGCCCCCATACTTTGCTGGCCGAGGCCTCAGGGCTGTCTCTAATGCTTCTGCTGAGGGCAGCTGGGGCAGTGGTGCAAGTTATTTCTCCCTGTGACCATTTGTTCCTGGCTAGCACAAACCTGTCCTTTCAGCACACTTGCAACAAACACGCTCTTCCTGCTATTTTTTGTCCAGGCAAAAAACTATCAACCTACCCGCATCTTGGCACAGGCATCCTGTGTAGACTCTGTCCCACGAAGATCTTTAATCAGCATAGAGCCCAAATACTGTGAAGATGATGATGATGACAGGGACAGAGATTAGTCTGGGGCCTTGAGGGGGGGTACAAAGTCAGACCCATCTTTCCCAGGTTGATGATTCCTTTGTAGGGCCTAGAGGTCCTGGCCTTCATTTTCATCACTTGTCCAACCTAAGGCTACCTCACAAATAACCCAGGCTAGACCTGAACTCCAAAAGTCATTATCTTGGGGTACTCAGCCATATTTATGTGGTTATCTCCTCAATTTCACCCTCCCCATCCTATTTCTTTCCAGTGAAAAGCCCCTTCACTCAGCCCTCCTATTCAGCCTGCCATAAGCATCTCTGACCTTTCAGGCAACTAATTTAGCCTGGTTGAGATTGACACGGGTCAGCAAGCTGGCCAGAGACAAGGGAGTTAGGGCTCTCACAAGAGCTAGAGGAGACTCGGCCAATGTTTTCCTCTATCCTTGTAGGCAGCGCTCTGACCACATTCTCTTCTGCTCCCTCACACTTCATCTCTGATCATGCTCTCCCTTTCATCTTCACAGACAGCTCTTACCTATCATTCTCCCTACTCTGCCCTTTGCACAGGGAGCCATGGAAGGCATAGAGACCACAGAAGAGAAGGGGCCAGATCCACAACTTGCCACTCCTCCAAACAGTCACTCTTATGGCTGCCCCCAGGTATGTGTCTGAAGGAAGGCAGGGAACACCACTCACATTGGCTTCATAACCACAAGATTCAAAGATGAGCTTCTCCGGTTGGTGCTGCCAGCTCTGCACAGGGGCATAAGGAGCAGCCAGGCTGGGGGGCCGAAGGGTCAGTTTGGCCTCCCGGGGATCCTCCTGCCGAGACAGTTACTCAGTTGAAGGGAGGTTTCTCCCTGTTCCTGCTCAAGGTCCAGTAATACCCATCAAACCTGTTCATTGTGAGCCCTTCCCGCAGTCCTTCCCTCCTCTCCACCCGACATTTGAACACATCTTCAATCTCAGAGGAAATGGTTATGAGGAGGGTTTCTTGAGATAGAAATTAATGCCCCAGTCCACACTTCCCATCCCAACAGTGCCACGTGGACCTCTGCCACTAAGGCAACTGTTTTCTAAGGAAGTCTGAACAGGTTGAGGGGTTGGGTCTGTGAGAGTGACACAGACATGTCACTGTGCTGCTCTGAGAATCCCCCTACATGCTCTTCCTGATACATTTTGTCCAAGCAAAAAGCAGGACCTGAGTTGGGGAGAGGAAGGAAAAAGGTTCACAGGGACCCCGGACCCTGACCTGTGTCTTAAAGCGCTCGGCTCTGCCGTGGGCAGCTGGGTCGTGACAGCTGTCATATCGCCTTTTGCCTGTGTCCCCCAAGGGCAGCAGCAGGTCTGATGACCTCCCAGTACAAGAATCATTTTGGCTCAGGGGAGAGGATGTTTGGGAAAGCAGATCTTGGCACTGTAAGGGGAAAGGAAGAGAAGGTTTCTGGCCTTTCTGTCTCAGTGAGAAACATGGATGCAAAGTACTGGGCAGGGAGAATTAGGCAATACAGTGAAAGGGACTTGTTGGAAGCTAATGTTTCTGGCTTGCAGACTGTGGAGTGGAGGAGTAGTGAGGGCTAGGCAAGCTTTGGCTTCTTCACAGAATAGCCAAGTGCTCCTCAAGGAAACAGAAGAGGGGCCCTATTGAGCAGGTTAAGGTCCTTGTAGGCTGCAAAGATTTAACTGCATCCATCTGTTTTAGACAACCAGCATCCCAGGCTTATAGAGAGCAGGCCTTCAGAGCATAAACAGCACTGGCGTGCTTGCCTCAGCACTCTGAAGCCCAAACTGAGAGCCTCTTTGGGTTCTCCACTGGCCTTCCCTCCCTGAGACCAACCCCAGGCATGTGAATCCTAAGGAATCTTTAGCTTTGGAAACCCAGCATCTGTTTGTAGTTCACTAGATTCCAGAGAGGCGTGACAGAGAAGAAGTGGCAGAGGGATGAGCATTCCAACATACCCTCTCCTCCTACTCATGTCACCAGTGTCTGCTTACTCCTGGTTCTGTGGTCTGTCTTCTCTGCTCAGGCTTCTTAGAGCCAGCTTGGAGATCTACCAACCCATCCTTTTTTCCCTCTTCCAGCTTTCCTATCAAAATCTACCTAATCCCATAGATCAGGAACCTTCCCCTATTAATGTTTCTTCCCTCCACTTCTGAAGCACTAAGCACACACACGTGGAGGCCCAGAGGCAGGAAGATGACCTACCCGGCCATACTCATCTTCCCCCTGTGTAATAAGAGAGGGAAATATCTCCACTTAGGGCTTCTCAACTGAGGTACTTGTGGCAAGGAAGGCAATAAGAGGCAACTGAAGAGCAGATTCCTCCTAGGCCTTTGTCCTTAAGCTATCGGAAATGACAAAATAACAGCCTGGGGCACAAGAGGCACAGAACTGTCAGCTCAAAGCAGGTTGGGGGGGCGGGGGTGGGGAGAGGTTGGACATTCAAAGCCCTTCCTAGAAACCTCACACCATAACGATCTAGCCCAAACCTGAGGAACTCTCCAGCTTGTGGCTCCACGGCTACAGACTTCTATACTGGGAAGGGCCTGACCACTCTACCCTGCTGAGATCTGAAATTCAAGCCAGTGGCCAATGGCAAAGATGTCCCTAGCAGGGGATGCCTTGGTGATGCTTTCCTTTCCTCTCTCCATAAATGTGAGAATAATTTTGATACTCCTAATCAATTTAATCAGTATTTACTCAGTTCACTGTGAGTTAATGGGTGTCAGTGATTGTTTTAGTAAGCTAAGAAAAATAGAATCAAAGTTTGATTTGGTTAGTTAAAACAGGAGTTATGTAAGTTAGGATTAATTAACCCTCCATGCACTGACGATTAGATTGCTTTTAATTGATTTATACTGTATTAAGCCTGTTATAAAGATTCATATTAACTTGCTAAATATTAATCTTGCCCTACCCCACTCCCCCACTCCTATGAATGTACTATGAGAGCTGTATTTCAAAGAAACCGCTTTCCCCATTTCCTCTGTTCTTTCATGCCTAATGTTTGTAACTGCTTGTGGAAAGTACTAGATCTCTGGTGATTAAACACTGACTTAAGCACTGCTGATTGATGGACATACCCCATGGCCAATTGTGGAGTCTGTTCTTCTCCCACCCTCACCCCCCATTGGAAATGACCAATCGTGGATTGTACTGTCTCATTCTATTTTTAGTAATCTTTCAAAGTCTACAAAAACTTGAAGAATACAAGCAGAGGGGGTCCTTGACTGCAAAGGAAAGTCTTAGATCAACTGATTAGCCCACCAGTCACCCTAATAAGCTGATATGTGCTTGGAGTTCTGCCTCAGTTGCTTTTTGTTGCAGATTGGAATTTTGTGGCCTACAATAACCTAGGCAGCCCAGATGAGAAGAGAGTTTACATCTTCACCTATTCACTTTCCTGAGCCGGGCCTTGACTTAGGACTTGGAAGACACAAAGTCTAGGACAGTAGACAGAAACAATAGCTGACCAAGCCCTGCTCCTCATGCCCTAATGGCAGGCCCAAGTCCTCCCCTTCCTCAGAAAGGGAAAGTGGCTGAGACAGGAGTCGTCTTTGTAACAGAGCCTGGGCTCTCTATGAGGACAGTCTCCTTACTGCCTAAAAGTGAAAGGACAAACACATGCCTCTTCCCTTCTGTCCCATACCCTTCTATAGCATTCCCACCCACTGACAGAGATGCAGCAGCTCAACTCACTCGCAGCTGGGAAAAGCGAGGGGGCTTCTGGGGGGGCTCCTCATAGGGTCGATCTGCAAGAGAGGCGATGATCCGCTTCCGGTGGCCAAGCAGGTGAACCTTTAGCACCTGAGAGGTGGGGCAGGGAATGGGTTAGGAACAAGAAATGGGTTTGCTTGACATACCTGAACTCCTCATGCCACCTGTTCCTCCACAGATTTAAGTTGCAACAGTAGGTCATGCGTCAGCGCAAAGAACACTTGGCTTGGAGTCAGGGGGCTCGAGTTTAAATCCTAGCCTGGCAGTCACTTCATCACCCCGGGCTTGTTTCCTTATTGTATAATCCTGAGAATGCACCTTGTGGACAGCACAGTCCCCTCCTCCCACCTCACCTCACCAGCCTCCTACAAGCTCCTGGACACAGCCTGTTTTGGGCTCCAGGCCCACTTCCTTGGCTCTGCTCCCCTCAATTGTTTCTGAAGACCCTGAACCTCCTCCTAGAGGAACGTGTCTTTCATTGAATCCAATGTCTCCTCAGATCTGGCCTCCCAATCTCATGGGCCCTGGCCTAGTCATTCTGGTCAGAAAACCCAAGTGGTAGCAGCTGAAGTCCCAGGAGTCCTGAGAATGAAGGTCATAACATTTAACCTTCTTAGGGGCTCTCAGCAGTTGTCCTGGCCATACTCTCCCACCATCTCTGGTCTCTGGGGCTGGGGTTTGGCTATTTTACTTTAGGCTGTCCTTCCAAAGAAGCTTAGCTCAAGCCACCCCAAAACACAGTACAGCGGTGGTTCAGCTCAGGCAATGAATGGCAAATATGTCTTATTGAAACCTCTGGAAGACTCAGTTTGACCTGCAGGGCACCAGAGGAGAATGATTTTCCATGTTCCTCCTACCAATAGTAACCCCTTTTTCCCTGAAGAGGTTCAAGTGTGTGGACTGGCCCACTGGGAGGGAGCCTTAGTCAGTCTGTTATACTCACATTAACGAGCTCCAGTTCCCAGAGGTTTTTCACAGTGTCAATAGAACTATAGCCACTTGACAGAAAAGACTGGATATAATCCTGCAGACCCAGAGAGTCAAGCCAGGATGGGACAGATGGCTGGGCATTCCCATCACAGCCCAGAGGTTTTACCTGTAAAAGGGAAAGGGAAGTAATGGATGACAGGTGGCACAAGACAAATGTCCCCCTGTGGAGACCACTGACATGCCCAGAGTAGCTCACACTGACCACATCAAAATGCAGCCTGCTCACACAGTGATGACTCACTCCAGCGAGTTAGACAAACCATCTCAGGTCAATCACATGCTCCTCTAGAGTCACCTGGGGTTGGGGAAGAGGGGCTCTCTCAGAGGGCAGAGTAATTTAGAGGTGATTCTAGAATACTGAGAACCAACCCTAGTTGTTCTCACCATGGCCAGGGATCTGATAAAAAATATAATCGTTCCTATGATACTGAAAATAATTCTGCTTGCAGTTGTGCTGACATGGGAAGATGGAGTGGGGGGAGGAGGAAGGGGACATTCAGCTTAATACTTCTAGCTAACATTTCCCAGACTTTCAAATTCGTCCAGCTTATATGTGCGTCATGGACCCATTGGGTAGTCTGGTATAGCCCAAGAATCCCTTTTCAAAATGATCTGAAATGAATAAAATGGTAAGGATTATAAAAAGAATCAATGATGTTGAAATAAAAATGTATTTTTTTCCATACAAGTTCACAGACCTCCTGAAATCTATCCATAAGACCTGGAGGGTCCACAGACCCCAGGTTAAGAAGCCTTGCTCTAACTGTATGCAGGTTCTTTGGGTATAGAGGAAGAATGATAGTATAAGTAAGAACAGTTCACTTCAGTTTCAAGAAACCAAAGGTCTTTTCAAATACAGTAATGCTCGTGATGAAACATATTACCCACCTCCAGATAGAATGGTGATGGATTTTAACATGGTCAATGTGGGGATTTATTTTGTTTGACCATACATGTTTGTAATAAGCTTTATTTTTTCCTGCTTTCTCATTGAGGTGGGGTGTCAGAGGGAAGGAAAGAATGTGGATCTTAAAATAAAATAGGATTTTTTTAAAAAAGAAAAAAATTTTAAAGTTAAACAAATGGAGCCATGTAGGTTATAGTCCAAAGAGGCAAAGGTGGTTGGCCCTTGGCCCCATCTAGGGGGTAGGAAGGCTGGAAGGGCTTTTGTTGATCCTTGAGTTAGACTCTTGGCCCTCTTACTTAGGGGAGCAGCCGTAGTGGCTTTTCCCATGCTCAGATCCCCCAGCACGACTTGTGCTGAGGTCCAGCTCGTCAACGTGGATTTGTCAGAAGCATAGGAATGCATGGTCTGGCAATCCCAGAGCTACCACCCCTATGGTGTAGTGGATAGAAGCTGGATTTAGAGGCAGGAAGACCCAGGTTCAAATCCTGCCATGGATACTTGCTGTGTGACCCTGACAAGTACCTTACCAGGTGTGGGTTCTAGTTTCCTCATTTGTAAAGTGAGCGGCTGAACCTGAGAGCCTCCAAGGTTCTTTCCAGCTCCCAATCTAGCATCTTTATTTCCTTTTAGATGGCTGAGAGCTGGGGCTCCTCTCCGAAGGCCATATGTAGGCAACACTTGTGCCCTCAATCAGGAGAGCCCTGTGAGCAGGCCCTAGGAGGTGAAAGTCAATTCTGAGGGGGATCACAGATTTCTGAGATGAGCAGACCTCTTTCAACACTAGTAGGACCTCTCTCCCACAGCTCCCCTGGGCCCAGACAATTTCCCTGCATCTCAGATTGCCTGGAGGGACATTATTACCCCTAATGAACCCTTAAGACATAGCTGGGAACTCAAAAAGACCTTATGCAACTCCTCTGGTCCAGTTGAAGAGGCTTTATTGCATCAAAAAGGACAAGATATGTCTAGGACCATGCCCTGAAGCAAAAGGTCCATTCCAGGCAGGGTCCTAAATACATCTGTGAGAAAGAAATGGGGATGAAGAGATTTAGGGGAGGACAACTGTCTTTAAGACTTATTTGAAGATCCGAACATACAATCCCATAGGTTCTGGCCAAATCATCAATCATTTATTAAATGACTACTGTGTGCCAGGTACCATGCTATGTTTTAGAGTTATAAAAAAAGGCAAAGACACAGTCCTTGCTGTCAAGGAACTTACATTCTAATGAGGGAGCAAACATGCTTAGTCAGTCTGTACAAGCACAACTATGTACATACAAGATAGACATGCACACTATTTATTTATTATTAATATCCCCAGTTTACAGATAGGGAAACAGAGGCAAACAGAGGTTAAGTGACTTGCCCAGGATCACACAGCTAGTAAGTGTCTGAGGCTGGATTTGAACTTGGGCCCACTTCTTGATTCACTATGCCACCAGCTGTCATTATATCTCTATCTCTATCTCTATCTCTATCTCTATCTCTATCTCTATACCTATATATGATCAATCCCTGGTAAACTTCCAGAGGAGCCTAATCTGAGAAGTGGGCTTCACCATGAAGCCATGTCCTAATGAGGCCGAGAGGTTCTTTACAATGGGTGTGTGTGTGTGTGTGTGTGTGTGTGTGTGTGTGTGTGTGTGTGTGTGTGTGTGTGTGTGTGTGTGTGTGTGTGTGTCTATATATGTGTGTCTGGGAGTGACAGACAGAATAAATGGAAGGTAATCTTACAGCAGGGGTTCCCAAAGTGGGTGATACCACCTCCTGGGGGGTGCTATCCAGGGGGCATTTGTAGTCTTGGGTGCAATTGAGGGGAGGGGGCATTTAAAAATAAGGGGGCGGTGGAAGCAAAGGAAAGGAGAAAAGATAAGAAAATTTTGAGAAACCATTCATACATGTTTCATCTGTTGTGTAACAGAGTTAAAAGTCATAGTGATTACATTATTCTCCAAATAAACACACAAAATGTAAATTATAAGGTCCGCTGACAGGTCTTAATAAGCAAGTGTTGGCAGACGAGGGTGTCACACATTGTTGGGAAGTCCAGCATGCACTGGCAGGAGTATGTGCATATAACGACTTGTTTACAATATAGTACTATACAGTTACATGATGCAAATACTGCATCATCAAAATTTCAATGCAAGAAACCCCCCCCAATTTACAATAAATTATTAAATTTAAGACATCATTTAAAAAAATTAATATTTTTTTGAAATGATACAAATTTTAAAAAAAAGTTTAAGGGTTAAAGAAAGTAAATTTCCAGGGGGCACTGAGTATATATATATTTTTTAAGGGGGCAGTAAGCCAAATCAGTTTGGGAACCTCTGTCTTAGAGCAAAGGCATTTGTTGGGGGTGGGGACTGGGAAGGGATTATGAAGGCCTTCTGCAGAAGGTAGGATTTAAACTAACTCTTGAAGGAAGCTAAGATATGGAAGTGAAAAGGGAGAGCATTTCAGGCACAGGCAGTGAAAAGGCATGAAGATGGGAGATGTGCAAGGAACATCAAGGGAGCCATTATGGCTGGATTATAGAGTACGTTGCAGGCAGCTGGTGGCACAGTGGATCAAAAACTGGGCCTGGAGTCAGGAATACGCAGTTCAAATCTGGCCTCAAACACTTAACTAGCTGTGTGACCTTGGGTGAGTCCCTTAACCACCGTCTGCCTCAGTTTCCCCATCTGTAAGATGTGTATATTAATAATAAATAAATAGCCACTATTTCCCAGGGGTATTGTGAGGATTAAATGAGATAATATTTGTCAAATGCTTAGCACAGAGCCTGGCACATAGTAGGTGCTATACAAATGGTAATCATCATCACCATCATCATCATCATCATCATCATCATATAATCTAAAAATATTGCAAGGTTGTGAAGGGCTTTAAAAGCAAACTGAAGATTTAACATTTGATCCTGAAGGTAATAGGAAGCCACTGGACTTCACTGAATAGGGGAGCACTATGGTCAGACCTGTGCTTCAGGAACATCACTTTGGTAGCACAGTGGAGGATGCACCAGAGTAGGGACAGACTTGAGCCAAGGAGATCAATTCAGAAGGCAACTGTAATAGTCCATGCATGAGATGATGAGGGCCTGCATCAGGGTAGCAGTTGAGTGAGGGAAGAAAAGAGGGCATATAGAAGAGATACTGAGAAGGTACAAATTACAAGATTTGACAGCAGACTGGACATGTGGAGTGAGTACAAATAAGGAATCGAGATGACTCCAGAGTTGTAAGCTTGGATGACTGGAAGGATGGCAGTGCCCTAGACAACAGAGGGAAGTTGGGAAGTGGGGAAAGTTTGGAGGTCAGGGTGGGGAGGGCAGAAGATGATTTTCTTTGGACTTGTTGGATTTGAAACTGGCTATCTATGGAGATATCCAGTTTGAGATGTCCAACAGGCAGATGGTGAAGCGAGTCTGGAGATCAGGAGAGAGTTGTCAAAGCTGGGTAAATATACATGACAATCATCTGAAGAGATAATAATTTAATCCATGGAAGCTGATACAATCATGAATCAAGATAGCATAAAGGGAGAAGAGAGCCGAGGAGAATAACTAGAGTCAGAGTCAGGGTGCAAAAGGGGGGATGGGGCCTGGGGTGGAGAAAACTGTGCCTCCACAAAAGAAAGAATTAAGCTATCCAAAAGTCTGATGGGCTATTGTGAGAGGTAACGAGCTCCCTCCTCACTGGAGGTGTTCAAGGCCTGGCTGACCGCTCATCAGGGCTATTATAAAGGGTATTCCTGTTTCAGTAAGAGCTGATTCAGTGACTCTTTGTGATCATCCCTTTCCCTTGGTTTTGGCTCAAACTGAAGCAGGAAGGACCCTGGAGGGTTTTTTACCTTGGGCAAAGATCTTGCAGCCTGGAGAAGCTTCCGCCGGTGCTGGGGTTCACTGATCCCAATGTCCCGGAGGTCCTGGTCTTCCATTACGTTACTCCCCTGAAGGCAGAGAACAAGAGAGTTTTACTAGAAATGGTGGCTTCCCTGACAATTAAAGGCCTACTGAAGAGACTGCTCTAAATTTCTTCCCTTACTGAAAGGAATACTAGAGGTTATCTCCTAGATTTCCTCACATAGCTAGCCCAGCACAGTCCAATCCAAGGTAATTTGGAGCCAGGAAGACTTGAGTTTGAATCCTGAAGCAGGTATTTACTAGCTGTGACCCTTAGCAAGTTACCCCATTTCTTCATCTGTAAAATGGGGAAAATAATATCTACTTTCCAGGGTTGTTGTGAGGATCAAATGAGATAATATATGTAAAGTTCTGCATACTTTAAAGTGCTATGTAAATGCTAGCTCTTGTTATTCAATAACAACGTTGTTATCACATATGACATAGAACGTAATATAATAATCTTCAGCAGGGGCTGCTAAAGGTGTTCTGAGTTCTTTGAAGGATTTGGCCGTTAGGAAAATCCATTTTCACTTGAGGGAAAACTTTTCTCTGGGGCAGAGAAAAGAAGCCAGACTCCAGGTCATGGAGAAACACTGAAGAATGACCTAGTCAGATGAGCATTCTCAGACTAACACTACCTCATGTACAGAGAAGGCTTAACACATGTTAGCTGAACTGAACTCAATTAGTCTTGTTAACAGATAGCAACAGTGAATAATTTGGGGGACGTGGAATTATAGTATTTTGGTGGTACTATGACTTACACCAGACATCTTCCTTTTGACCCATGTGATACCACTGCTGAAACCTTGACCTTGAGGAAAATCTGACCTGCCAATATAGAGAGTAAAGAGATTCCTCTATTTCTCTGCCTTAAGTGTTGCCCTCCAGAGATCAGATGCTCATGGACAGTGGGCAGCATGACTGGCATCACTAGTCCCAGCTTCACCACTTACTTGCTGTGTCAATGCCCCCCCTTTTTTTCTTAATTAATTTATTTTAGTTTTCAACATTCACTTCCATAAGCTTTTGAGTTTAAAATTTTTCCCCACATCCCTCCTCAAGACAGCTCGCAATCTTATATAGGCTCTACATATACATTCCTATTAAACATATTTTCACATTAGTCACGTTGTAAAGAAGAATTAGAACCAATAGGAGGAACCACAAGAAAGAAGAAACAAACCAAAACAGAAGAAAAAAAAAGAGCCAATAATATTCTTTGATCTGCATTCAAACTCCACAGTTCTTTCTCTAGATGTAGATAGCATTTTCCATAATGAGACTTATGGAGTTGTCTTAGATACTTGCTGAGAAGAGCTAAGTGTATCAAAGTTAGTCATCACACAGTGTGGCTGTTACCGTGTACAATGTTCTCCTGGTTTTGCTCACTTCACTCAGCATCAGACCACTTAAGTCTTTCCAGGTTTTTCTGAAGTCAGCCTGTTCATCATTTCTTATAGCTTAATAGTATTCCAGTACATTCATATACCACAAATTGCTCAGCCATTCCCCAACTGATGGGCATCCCTCAATTTCTAATTCTTGGCCACCACAGAAAGAGCTGTTATAAATATGTTTGTACGTGTAGGTCCTTTTCCCTTTTTAATGATCTCTTTGGGATACAGCCCTAGAAGTGGTATTGCTAGGTCAAAGGGTATACACATTTTGATAGCCCTTTGGGCATAGTCCCCAGTTGCTCTTCAGAATGGTTGGATCAGTTCACGACTCCACCGACAATGTGTCAATGCCCCTTTCATAGCCTCAGCTTCCTCACCTGCTGAATAAGGGGGCTAGACTAGATAATCTCTAAAACCTGACATCCTCTAATTCTAGGGAAGTTCAGTTACTGGCAGCCTTAGATAGAAAGAACATGAGTCAATCTAGATTGTAAGGACCAAACAGCACAGTCTCATGAAATTGTAAAATACAATTTATTTTTTAAAGTTTTAGGGATACCTTTAGGGACAGCACCAGTGATTTCCTGACAGACTGCTTCTTCCCTTCTGGCTCTGCTGTCCACCTCCCCATCCCACTCCACCCCAATAATCCTCCCATTGTAACAAAAGAAGACAGATTGACAAAGCCACTGTCTCAGAGCTCATGCAACATCCTGCACCTGTAGTCGCCTACCTTTCTACAAAGATGAAGGAAATGTCTTTCATCATTTGTTCTTCAGGACAGCAAACAGCCACAGCAATTCATCAGAATTCAGCTGTCCCTGTGGTATTTTTGTTTACACTATTGTACTCTTCGTGTAGATTTTCTTGGTCCTACTCTTTTCACTCTTCAATTCATACTCAATTCATACATGTTACTGTACCATAAGAAATAATATGAGGGACATGTTCTCAAAAGCTTTGCTTCTAAGAATTTCCTCATATTCTTTCTTATGATACAGTAAATTCCATTGTATTCAGATACCATAATTTGACCAGCTATTTCCCTAAGTGATGGGCATCTATGTATCTTCTAGTTTTTTGTTACCTCAAAAAGTGCTCTTACAAATACTTTGGTTTGTATAAGACCTTCCCTTCTCTATGACCTCCTTGGCAGTATATGCCCAGGACTGGGATAGCTAAGTCAAAGAGTATAGGTGATTTAGTCACTTTTCTTATCTTCATGAAAAAATTTGAAAGTTGGTTAAAAAAACCAAACAAAACACTGTCATGTTTCCTTAGAGAGGGAGGGTAAGGATGGTGGTTCTGTGATTTCTGAGAAAAACTTGAACTAATTCTCTCCTTTGTCCCTGTTTTTACATTTCCTTGTCCCCAGCAGTTATGTTGGTATATAAACTCCTAAAGCTGTCTCAATCTAGTAACATTAGGGGAGATAGCAGCAATCCATTGGAGATCACATAATGAGGCTTCTGGAGATCTCATTCTGTCCATGCCACTAGGCAGTGGAAGTTGGAAGCCTCAATGACTCTGGGAACATCCACCCCTATGGAACACGTAACACCAAGAATTTTTAGAACATCCCTTAGCAGGGAACCAATTTCGATTACATAAAATGTAAAAGACTTTGCACAAACAAAATCAATGCAGTTAAAATCAGAAAGGAACGAGTTAGCTGGAGGGGGAGAATCTTTTCAGCAAATTTCTCTGATAAAGGTCTCATATACAAGATATATAGGGAACTGATTGAAATACATAAGAATGGTAGCCATTCCCCAATGAATAAATGGTTGAAGATATGAACAGGTAGTTATCAAACTAAGAAATCCAAGCAACCTACAACCAATCTAACCTGTCAATCAAACTTCATTGCCTCATAGGGTCTTAGTATTTAGAAGTTCACTAGAGGTGAATCTAACTTTACCATTTTACAGATGAGGAAACTGAGGCCCATAAGAGATTGACTGACCAAAGTCACACAACTAGAAAGTGGAAGAGGTGGGATCCAGGGTCATATCATGACCTCATTATGACGCTTCCTTTACTGCCTCCTGATGCCTGAGAAACTGACTGTTAGAAAATTTCTTTCCAAGTTCAAGGCAACTAATTAAATTATATGCGCAGGGACTGATCTCCTAGACAAGACCAGGATATTTTCCATAAATGTCCAGGGATGCTCCTCTGTGGTACTATATAGCAATAGTAGTTTCGGAGATTATTTTCAGGATTCCATTTCCCTCTATCCCCACTGATGGGGCACCCAGATTGCATCCCAGGGAGCATAAAGGGTTCCAGTCAGAACTGGTGCCTAATGGGATCCCATTTCCCCCTCCCTTTGCCCCAGGGTCCACCCAAAATCTTCCTGCTAATGCTCCTTAGCCCCTTCAGGCTGGACACTGAATCCTACCCCATCTCCACCCTAGCTAGAGGAAACCAGAATCTGTCCATCCTGACCAGCATTTTCACACTCTCTCTTCTAACAGTGATTGGTTACTCCTGTGGGGCAGACATCCCAATGTAACCTAGGAATTCCTGGTCCTTACCACCTAGCCTGTAGCTGTACCCTTTACACCTCTGGGTCTTTCCTTCTATTTTGTAGCTGAACTTTCCTTCTAAATGTATTATCTCTCCCAGCTGGAGTGTGAACTCCTTTGCAAGGAAGAACTGTTTTATTTTTTCTATTTGTATCCCCATCATCCAAGACAGGTTTGGCCCAGAGTAAGCCTTAAATGAATGTTTTTTCATTCATCCATAATGGTTTAACCAGCACTCGATTAGGGACACAAAGATAAGACTGCCTTATATGGTCTAAGGAAGTTTAAGGAAGTTTAATGGCTACAGCACAAGGAGGAAGGAAAGTTTTTTGATAACAGAGGAGAGTATTGATCTGGGAGTTTCCAAAACGCTTCTTCACTGATTTAACAACCACAGTGTCGGTCTGTTGTTATTAATGGCACCATTAGCAAAGATGTGTGTTTAAGTGCCTTCCTGTTCAGAAATGCACCATGGTCCAGTAGAAAAAAAATGTTGGAAATAGAATCAGAGGACCTGGATTCAAATCCCTCCTAAGCTATTTACTTTCCTATGTGGGCTTCGGATAAGTCCTCAGTTTTCTTGCCTGAAAAAATGAAACAGTTGGATAACAACTCTGTATTTGGAACATGTGAGGGAATCCATTATTTACTCCTGGGTGGGAGGAGGTGACAGCAAAACCTTTCAGCTACCTCACATAACATTAGAGGATTTAAGAGTGGCCAGGTCTCCCTTGGAGCTGGCAGAAGGTCAGCACTTTAAAACCTAGGGAATGTGGGGAGCTCTTTAGCTCATTTTTTGGGGGGGAAAAAAAGCAAATACAAGAATGACCTGGGAAACACCCAGGAGTTGACACGAAAATCAGGTATTGGAGTTTGCAATCCAGATTCCAAACTCCCCCAGACAATTTTGCCCATGGAGAAGAATGTTGGACTTGGAATCAGAAGGCCTGGATTTGGGTTCCATCTCTGAGAGCTGTGTGACCAGTAATAGATAAGTCATTTGACCTATCCGGACACTGATTCCCTCATCTGTAAAATGAGAACAATAACATCTGCGCTACCTACCTTATAATATTGCTGTGAAAAAAGTACTTTGTTAAAACAGAAAGACTG